CAGAGGCTCATGACAAACAGTAAGCCTCTTTGTAACTTTATCGTGTTTATTGGCAAAACTGAGACCCACCAGAAACTTCAAGTTGACAGTTAACATACATCCCTAAAACAAAAGACTCCATTGAATCTAATACTAACAGTGAAACTCTGACCAAACACAGAGAAACTATGGCTTTGTGTAGTCTCATATTTGCAGTGAAGCTCAGACTTAGAACAAACAGAAAACCAAAAACTGTCTAAATTCATGAGACTATGAGGAAAGGAGAGCTAACTGGACTCAAAGAAGAGTTTGTTTGAGGTGCTCCTTGGGATGGGATTCATAAAGTCATTGAATCAAAAAGAAAAGACTTCAAGGCACTCTCTTTATGTGATTAAAATTCCTTTATTCTAACAGCACAGTCATGAAGACCTTGAAACAAACTTTGACAAGTGTCAGCCTCAAGCCTTCATCAGGAAATCAGGTAAACTGTTTACCTGACTTCCTGATGAACACTCTCGTTGTGGGATGTAATGAACCCAGAAATGATACCCAAAAATATCACAAGAACAAAATCAAAACATCTAAGAATCAGAAAGTACATAACATTATTGAATTTGTGGCCAGGTTTACATGCTGAGTTAATAAAAGTGTAACAACTAGCAGCTTGCATGCAACCTACCTTTGTGAGAATACAGTATTTTCAAAAATATCTTTTCAGCATCTGGGTACACAGATAGAGGTTAGGGAACTCTACTGAGGACTCATTACAGCCTAATTTCTTTGAAATGATCAGTGAGCAAATATTCAGTCTTTTTTTCAACAGCAGTTAAAATCTGAACTTCTCTTTTACTCATCTCTGAGCGTCCTGTAGCCGTCAGACAGCCGGCCTCCTCTCAGCTGATGTCACTCTCTCACAACCATCTGTCACGCTGGAGCTCCGTCTTCAGCTGGAAGTGGATCAGTGCTGGCAGATCGGTCCCGGTCAGGGTAGAGTCGCCTGCTGGGTGTTCAAACCAGTGTCTAACCCCACCCCCCTGCAGGGCCAGAGGCACTGACTGCTACAGCCCTGCACTGCACTGCTCATCTCGTCTATGTCTGAGACCGAGTTCAGCTTCAGCAGCGGCAGGTAACTAAGCAGCAGATGGCCGAGAAGACCACCACACACACACACACACACACACACACACACACACACACACACACACACACACACACACACACACACACACATACACACACACACACACATATATAAACACACAGAAAGCCTGCACATGCATGCACAAGCATCTTTTGGTTGAAGCTACATTAACTAACATATGGCGTGTGTCTCCTACACAATTGTACATCAGTTCCCAGCATGCTCTCTATCATATACAGCACTGTTTATCTGCGTTTATATTACCTGCTGCATTAAGAAGCTGGTTTACTTTGATAATCAGCATGAGAGCAGCAGATACCCTCCATTTATCCCCTCATTCATTCACACCTTTTAGCCAATAAAAGAGTGAGAAACAGCCCCCCACAGGCTGCAGGTTATTTCAGTCCTGTGGAGGAGAACAGCAACAAAACACAGCAGTAACACCACAACAGACGTTTGCTGAGCACTACACCTTAAGGACAGAGGCCCTATTTTAGACTCAAAGTCACTTCTGGGCACAGAGATCAGAGTCACCAGAATAAAAGCCCAAAAGAGCCAAATTTAGACCCTTATTTCTGATTGATTTAAGGATGAGAAGGGCTGCTGTAGAGAGTCTTTGGCTGTGAATACTTGGCTGTTTGTTGACCAATAACTTCAACATTTTAAAACTGGAAGGAGTTTGTTATGAGCAGAGGTCATGGGAGCTGGTTGTTACAGCATATTGGATCCAGACATGATGGCTGTAAGAACCTGTTCAATGTACAGTTTGTCACTTATTATGGAACAAGTTATTCAATGAAATTACAACCTCACACCAAATTTGATATCAGGATAACCGGTTTAAAACACAGTGTATATACAGGTATACGTTACTGCACATATTTAACAAAACACTTTCACTATTTGCTGCATTCCTCTTTTTACAGGTGCTGATAAGTTCCAGTGTCCTAATAAAATTAGCTTCTAAATAACAAAAAACTAAATAATGAATGAGATAATTAAACTGAAAAAATAAAAAGTTGGATGCCAGCAGTGCAGTCTTTTCTGGGGGTCCCTGAGCCCCCTCTTCCTGTGGGTTCCTCTGGATTCCTGCTACAGACATCCTGTTGCTGTGGACCTGTCTGCTTCCCAGCTGCTTGAACTATTATCATCAGTCTCACCTCATCTGTCACTGTCAGAAAGCAAATCTCAATTACAGTTTGGAGAGTGAAATGTTTCCCTTGTCTGATATTGGATTTCAGACAGTGTTTTTTGGTACCGAATTTGAACACATGCAGTCATTTTCATAGCATATCTATTTTTAACAAGGCATTTGAAAGGTGCTAAAGGCTTGAAGATCACAGTTAATGATATTATTCACTTTAGATGATGAGTCCTCAAACTCTTAGTAATTGTAGCTGCACATTTTTCGAGTATTGTTCAACAATTTCCTCACACAGTCTCTCACGCAGTGGTGAACGTCTCCCCATCTTTCTTTGAGGGTCTCAGTCACTACCCTGCTGCAAATTGACCTTAGTAGTTGTAAGATATTTCTGTAGGTGCCGTGCATGGATTTTTCTGTTTTCTGTTGTCCTCGTCTCAACTTATTCTGAACTAGTTGCTCTTTTTTCACAGGATAAAAGTTTTTAATTTATTTAAACTTTGATGTGTTGCTTTTCTGCCCTTTTCTGCTAAATTCAGGTACTGAATGATTAGTAAAATCTGGTTTTAAAACATTTTGCATCATATCCTTAGACTTTTAGAACTGATGTAATTTATACATATCTTGTCAGTAAAATGAACATTTAGACTTGGAAGGAAGAAGTGGGTCTTTGCACCTATATTATGTTCAGTCACAACTTAGCTTCATTTTTGGGGAGCTGTCATGGTGTCGATTATTTTTACGCACTCCATACTTTCAGTGTTTGTGTAAATTCACTTCCACTTTGGCACACTGGAAGTTGATATCCAAATGACTAAAGACTATTACCCTTAAGTCTCAAATCCTGATTTCTGCATGTTTCTCATGACATTGAATTGCTTTACTAAATTCAGCCTTCATGACCCTTTTAATCAAAATAACAGGACAAATATTAGAAGAAGCGATGTATATCTTTATTATGTGCTATGTACATCATATACAGTATGTTACAGCAACAATACATAGTAATGCTACACAGTTAAGATTGCACAGTTATAGAGTTAGGCCACAGCGGTTGGTACCGTGCCAATGAGACAAAAAAACAAAAAACAAAAAAAAAACAAGCGTATCTGAAGTACAGCAAACATCTTTGGCTTCAGAGGAAGGACAAAACCAATCAAAAAAGAAAGATTCTAAAATACTGTGACAAAAAACTTTCAGTCAGCGGAGGATAAATTAACATTGGGGAAAAGGAAGACAAAAGTATGACAGACATATTTTCAGTTCAGGTTGCTGCAGAATTGCTTGAGGAGATTGTTTCTTTAAACCCTGCTGGGCTGAGACGTGTACAGCCCTGAGTCTTGTCAGAGAGTATTTCCACATGAATGCAGAGCCTATCTACACATGTGGACAAAATCTCTGCAGGTACAAGAGGAGACAGAGTTAACAGGCCAGATTCAACAGGTGGCCATTTATAATTGACGTCATGCTGAGGGTGGGAGGTCTGATAGGTGTCTAATGAAGTCTGAGGGGAAAAAAGCCTCAAAATTTTTAGAATTTCAGCATGAATTTTAATTTAGACTATACTTCAAAGGCAGAAACACTCAGAAAACAGTCAAAACAAGACCAGAGTCTGCAGGTGAGTATCTAACAATAACAGAGCTAGTACCACCCGGCAACACACCACACTGACAAACACTGAAACCAGTCACATCTCATCTGTGCTCGTTTACATCCAGATAGTAGAGCATAATAGAGACAGTAATATCCATACAGAAAGATTGTAAGTGGCTAAATGCTTATAAAATGTGTTTTCTGATGTTCACAAATGGGTTATTAATTCTTTATTAATGTGAAATGCTGCAGCCTTCATTGTCTTTGCTGTTGCTAATCAATTAAAAAAAAAATTGTAATAATCTGTTAGAGTCTTGTGGTTTATGTGACCTACAACCTGAAACAAAAGATGGTAGGACATGATAACAGCTTTGGATTCCTTTTGACAACAATCAAAAACAACGCTTTCATGTTGGATCACAGGCTCCAACACAGTGCAAGCATGGCAAACCTGAAGAAACCTAGGAGGGCACCCCTCCAGGTGACACCAGGTCAGTACAAAAACCATGTTAATGACTTTCAGGGGACCACCCACTCCTTTTACAGCTGGCAGACCTACAGAGGCTGTGAATGTCCAACTTGAAACTGAGGAAGCCTTTTGAAAGCGAGACGAAACATCTTCAAAAACCTCAAACAAGTCCAGTTGCCCTTTAACGAAGAATTGGACATGATCACAATTAGGGTCCCACCCTGAGCACACTGCTTCCTGAATATGAATATTCACTCTGTAACTGCATCATATTTTACAGTCTATTAATCTGTGGTAAATCTGAGTCCTCCTCATTTGCAGCAGTTGTTTATAGAGACTCAGGCGCCCTTTCTCCTCCTCTTCCTAGAACAATCTGCTATTTTCCTCATTGTAATCACGTCATAAAGCAGCTATAGCGCTGAGGTGAGGGATGGCATACAGACAGAGATTGGACCGTAGATGGATGGAGAGGGAGAGCGGCACAGAGAGAGAGTAGGGGGAAGTGACACGGTGAGATAGCGGCAGAGCGAAGGGAGCAGACTGAGAGATGGATGCAGCAGGGTCGCCGAGGTGAGGAGATGCTGTAATGATTAGATCACAGATACCCTTGAGCCTTCCTCCCGTGCACAGAAACCTCGGACCCACTCCGAGGGGAGGAGGAAGGCCTGCGGTCATAAATGTAATCTCAGAGTCCTGTAATCCACTCCTGCTCTCCTCCTCCTCCTCTGTGTAGGAACTTGGCGTAGGAGGAGGAGAAGAGGAGGAGTGGATTACAGGACTCTGAGATTACAGAAGAATACTCTGCCTCTACATTTCTCCCCTGACAGGAGATGAGCTGCTCCTAGATCGCATCAGAGAGACAAAAGGTTTCCTAAAGATATTAACATTTTATGTTTGGCTGTTTGGAGGCTGCAGGAGGGAGGAGATACATTAATCTACTGCACAGAAAGCTCCAGAAATATCCTGAAATTTAAAAAAAAAAACTGAAAAACTTTGGACAGAACTTAAAATGACAGACCCACATTACATTTTTATGGGGTTTTTGGGCCTTTTTCATCTTAAAAACAAAGATTCAAGCGCCTCTTCAAATCTTTTTCACCCCTCATCAGATGATGATTGAGTAAATTGAAGGTTACAGCTCAGACCAGGGGAGAAGTGTTTAGCATGCTTCCCTCTAGTGGTCACTTAATGACACTGAGGGGAAAAAAAAAATCTAAAAAAGGGAGAACAATACAATGCGAAAAAAGCCTAAATATACCTCTTTTCTCACACAGTTCTTCAGTCCAACAGTTTCACAACACGAGTCAGAACAAAAACCTTTCTAAAAATATTACCACAAGCTTTACGAGGGAGTTTCTAACATAACAGCACCATTATATGTGCACACAAAAGCATCTCTTTACAATAAAGTCTTCCTTCAATTCACAAAATATATAAAGACATGGCTGGGGGAGAATATATCTTTAAATAAAGGGCTGTTAAAGATGAAGCATCAACTCTCAGGCTTCAGAGATTCATATATTAATCTGATGAACGTCTGCATTATGTCTCCACTTTAACTGCGAGGATCATTAAATCTGCACACGGTGAGTTTCTCTGACAGATACTTCCATTAATGTAAATCTCATGTTACATAAATAGTTTCCTTTGCAGAAAATAGATGGATGTGTTTGAAAATGTCATGCGTAGGTGTGTGAAAGTCTGGCTGTGTTTCCAACGATCCTCCTCACATACGAAGGAGAAATCAAAGTGATGACAGATCGTCTTCATTACAATGATAAGTTCAGGGAGTTTTTTTTAAACCATGACTAAAATCAAATCTCTCTATCTACATATTTAAACAAAGACATGTGAAACTCTCTTCTATAGCACCAAGCTAACTGCTGGGGAGGTTTTGGCTCCACTTCCAGACAACATAAATTGCAGTTTTATTCTGTCTGAGTCTGTATTTCTGCGTGAGTCTACATGACGAGCGTGTTTTCCTGTTAAGGTGTTTATCCCCTCAAATGTGGGAAAATCCTCTTTCACTGTGGATTAAGGAGACAGTGTGCATAATGTGAACAGGGGGTGAGGGTGGGACATGGAGGGGGAGAGGGGATGAGAGAGAGGACAGTTAGCAGGGAGATAGACGCAGAAGAAAAGCTCATTTGTTTCAAACACTAATACATAAATATCTTTTTTTTTTTGATTCAAGGACTTTTTTTTTTGCCAAACAAATCAGCTTGATTGCAAATATTCTGCAGAATCTGTAATCTGCAGGGGGGGGAAAAACCTCCAAAACAGCACCCAGAGGCAAAGTCTTAGTCTGAAATCTGACAGAAAATTTTGCTGCATAATCAAGTAGAAATATTTCAAAGTGTAAATCTACATTTTTCATGACTTAAACGAATAAAAAATCAAGGAAACCTAAAGAAAAGTGGTAAACTAAGAAAAAACAATGATAGACTGTTCCTCTTTTCTCTCTGTTTTTGAGGCAGGTATAGCTCCTTGATAGTGCTTCTCTCTGACAAGCTGCTAATGCCTCCAAAAGAGATAAACTCTAGGTGAACGGGCTCCTGTCGGCGATAAGAGTGGAGGTATCACTAACTGCAGAGACAAGTGAAAAGATGATAGTCCGGCAGGAGAGAGGAAAACAGAACAACAGCGATGCTATCTTTGTGACATCTCCTGTAAGAGTGTGTGATTGCTATCTAAAGGGAGGGAGGAGGTGTGTGTGTGTGTGTGTGTGTGTGTGTGTGTGTGTGTGTGTGTGTGTGTGTGTGTGTGTGTGTGTGTGTGTGTGAATCTGGGTCATCACGTCATCAATAAACACCTGCATTAGAGAGAAAGAAACGGATTCCTTCAGAGGGGAGAAAGTAAGAGTTCAGCTTACAGGGGCTGCAGGATGGATGGATGGATGAGTGCATGAATGGAAGAGGAGTCCAGGTTTCTTTCTTTGACAGCTTGGCGATGGTCGACTTGGCAGCAGAAACAGGTGGGAGTTGGGGGCAGACAGAGGGAGGGAGAGGAGGGTGAATTATGGATGGATGAAGTCAGTGAGGGGGGAGGAGGAGGTGGTGTCTGACGGGGACTTGTGTCCCGCTGACAGGCAAGCTGCTAGTTGGTGGAGTCACTTATCCACACGGAGTGCAGCAGAGACGACGGGGCAGCTCTGCGGTGTGACGTAGCCCTTTTCTCTGCTGAAGGCCTCAGGGGCGATTTCAGGCAGCAGATTCAACGAGAAGAGGGAAAGTTACTCTGGAGGAAACCACAGCAGCTCTCTGCCTCTCTGCTGCTGCAGCCCTTCTTTATTTATTCGACTGTCCTTCTCATGACGGACCTCTCACTCCTCACCCTCCTCTACGTATGTGGACGGGAACCAGCCGACCTGAGAAAACACAGAGATGAGGAATAAATCACTGCACAGGAGATGATTGACAGTGATTTATGATGAAAGTTAGTTAATCCGATACTCTGTATTTTAAAGGATCATTGACAAGTTTTAATTTGACAGAAAACAGCAATAATGCAAAGGACCTATACCAGGAGCTCAGGACTTATAAGTCTGGGCATACACTCTGTGAATTGAGGCTAAATCTGACCCCGTTTTGAGGTCCATGATGGGCTCTTGAAGTCTGGGAGTAACCACAATCCAATCAGCTGCTCCTAACTAGTCAGATAGGGAGTTTACAGCATGTTTGTACTACAGCCTGATCCAGCCCTGCAGGTCATCAGGTGGAAGTCTTTCAACTGTACCCAGACTTAGATCAAAGTCTGGAGTAAGGGCTTTTAGTTAATGTGGTCCTTCACTGGAACAGACTGGCTGCTGACCTCAGGTCCATCACAAATGTCTCCACTTTTGAAACCTAACTCTAAACCCTTATTGGTGGGCCAACAGTCTCTTTGTAATTGTGTCAATATGTTAGTTTGCATGTTTTTTTTTTGTGTGTTTTTTTTGTTGTTGCAGTGATCAGAAACTTGGAGATTTACTCACAGACTCTGCTTCTTTGCCTGAATTGCAGAAAAGAATCCAAAATGTAAATATCCACATTACTTAAATTCACTATGGCATGCTGACAGAAACAAACGTCTGTCCTCAGTGTGAACAAGCAGAAGTGAAATATGATATAAACAAATATTAAAACCGTTATTAAAGGGTTGTTCTAACAAATTAAACAGCATGAAAACTGGGCAGTAACAGCACCTAACAGACCATTAACAGACATGAGTAAGTTTAACACAAGGTTTGTTCTGCACATTTTTAAATGGATGCAAAATATTTGTATTAATATTTCACACCCCTAAAGCTGATATGTGCATTGATACACACTGCTTAACTATGACATTATGACCATTTATGCAACTTAAGCATCCAGCACAACAGCTGTCCCACGAGGACTGTAAGCTCTTCTTATTTTCTGAAGTCTAATGCTTTTTTTAACCCTAAAGGTTTGTCCTTATTATTATCATTTAAAAAAAAAAATATTATTGCATGATAATTAAACTCCAATTTGTTTTGGTGGTTTTATGTTATCCTGAAAATCTCTGCTGGGTGTGGTTTTCATGTAAACCATTAATAGGTTTCAAGCACATATTCTTTTATATCTTTATTTGCTTGATATTGTCCATGGTGTGTGAATGATTAAGCAAATAAGTAAATAAATTCTGCTTTTAGCAAGACCAGAAAGAGGTGATTCTGCTTTTCTGAATTTGTATTTTCAACTTCTGTCTTGAAACTGTAACTGTGAGCTCTGGCTGTGTGTCATAAATGATTCACTCATACAGACTCAGGTTGCAGTAATATTAAAATCAATTTTAGACAGGGAACATATCTTGAGTTTTGACCTCTTTTTATGACAGTAGAGTCTTGTCATACCATTAAACCCACAATAACAGGCTATAACAATAAAGTCATGCTGCAGGTCTCCCTCCAGCTTGTACCCCTCTCTCTGTTTCTGCTTTTTTAACTGTTCAGAGCCCTAAAGAGACTCTAACTGCTCTCAGCAGACTCCACATACAAGGTTTAGTTTTCACCAGAGCACCATCCACACATATCACAAACACTGCTACACTTACTACAGCTGTTCACAACACACACTCTCAAAAGACACTCTCTACAGCAGTGTAGGTGTCTGTACTTATAAACCATAGAAGGATGTTGGGAACAGAGTGGTTGGAAAGATTTGCGTTACAGACTCAATATGAAGAAACACAAGTCCTTTCCAGGTACCTGTAGACAAGAATATCTGACAAACCTTCTCTTTAAATTTGGATGTTAGATTTTTTTTTTTTACATCTTAAGAAAACTTACTCTGCCATTGACCTCGCCCCTCCACCAGCCATTCGCTCCTGACTTTGTGTAGATTTTCACCACGTCGCCCTCCTGCAGAGACAGCTCCCGTGTGTCACGAGAACTGAAGTCATACCGTGCAATCGCCACGCCAATCACCTTTGGAGTGAACACTAGGGGAACAGACAGAGAAGAGAGTATTAAGAGAAGGTTTTTTATTAAATGTTGGGATTAAAAGAAAGAATGGGATTAGAAATGTGCAAAACATCAGATTTAGGGTCAAATAATACACATAACAACCACAGATGGACATGGATGGTTAGGCTTGTGCTTTAGACACTCACACCTGAAGTTTCATCAGAATGTTTGCTGCAGTGGTTTTCATGGGAGTAAAATTTAGAAATCTGTCTTAAAAGATAAAATCAACAATCAGCATTTAAAGAGGTTTCAAGTTTAAATAGGTGAATCCTAAGAAATTGGCATGAAGGGGAGGTTTATCTTACTAATTTTAACAGCTAAGTCG